GTGGCTGGTACAATTGCGGTTGGAACTGGTCCGGTTGAAGCTGTGGCAGTGATTGTTGATTTGGTGCACACTGATTCTGCATAACCAAAGCTTCTGTCCTCAAATTATCACTTGCATCATCTTCTTATTTGTGCTCCCTTGTCTTGGCCTCAATGTATACCTCTTCCCCAATTCTTGGGATCCTTTTTTCAGCAGTTTTTTCTTCTGTATCTTCAGCTTCTTGAGTTGTTCTTCCAGTTCTCTTACTTCTTCTAAATTATTGGCCTTATCCAGGCATGATACGCATCGGTCTATATCTTTTTCTATTTCTTCTGTGCTAGTCATTGTAGGATAAAATCCTCTTGAATATGAAGCACCTTTAATCTCAAAATCTTTATCGCTGTCTTCATCTTCACTTTAATCAGAACTCGAATCTCTTGTATTCTTCTTCTTCCAACTTCCATCACCCCTTCTTTCCGCTCTGGTCAACCTCCATCTGATCACAGGGTCATATCCACTCATGATCTCTTTTGAATCACTCTGATCATCATCATCATCATCTTCAAGTTCCATCCTCCTGAACCTCACTCCACCCTTAGTTTCCAGACATCTCGTTTTCTTCTTACTTTTGGAGTTTGGATTCATCTTTATGGTCGTTTCTGCTTGTCCTAGTAATTACTTTCGTAGTTTTTATGTCCTTTTTCCCCATTGTAACAACTATTTTATATTCCTTTATTGTGAATTATTTTATTATTATTATTATTTTAAACCAAATAATTTGTAAACCAAAAATACTTTAGACTATGTAGCTTATGTTTCCCTCCTTTATATATATATATATATATAAAAATTATTTTCTTTTTTGTATATATATTCTTTATTTTGTTTTAATTAATTAATCAATCAATTAATTTATCAATATATATATATTTGTTTTTATTAATAAATTTTTTTAGTGCCAATCTTACCACATCCGATCAGGAAAAGTAAAGGAAAGTAGTCAACTTCAGAGCAATCCAAAAAAGACAGACCTGTAATCCAGCAACACTACAGCACTCACAAACCAATTGCTTTATAATCACCCAATTACATTTACATTTTAGTCATTTAGCAGACGCTCTTATCCAGAGCGACTTACAGTTAGTGAGTGCATACATTATTTATTTATTTTTCATACTGGCCCCCCTTGGGAATCGAACCCACAACCCTGGCGTTGCAAACGCCATGCTCTACCAACTGAGCTACATCCCTGCCAGCCATTCCCTCCCATACCCTGGACGATGCTGTGCCAATTGTGCGCCGCCCCATGGGTCTCCTGGTCGCGGCCGGCTACGACAGAGCCTGGATTTGAACCAGGATCTCTAGCGGCACAGCTAGCACTGCGATGCAGTGCCTTAGACCACTGCGCCACTCGGGAGACTTGCGCCACTCGTAAAATTACCTTAATTTTACAGAATAATGTCAGTGCTGGATTTCCAACACAACTCTAATCAAACCAACTCATGCACAAAAAACTCCAATGTGCAATTCTTAATTACATCAATTGATCAGTCTGTTGCCAAGTCCCTGTCAAATTGTCACAACATGAAATATGCTAGGCACACACAATATCCTGTATGGGAAAGTAAGTTTTGTGAACAGAGCAGTACTGGCCTTGATTGGACTGGATCCGGAGCAGCACACACTCTCGCGTGACGCACTGGTCAGCACCTCCTCTCTCTCTCTCTGTCTCCTCCTTCTCGTCTCTCACATGACAGAAGAACAAAAGGAACAGACAAGAATTTAGTCTTTTATGCACTCACTGGGTTATTTCAACCATACAATACCCTTTTAGACATACCTATGTTCACATTCGCGCTAAGAAATAAGCAAACAGCTTAACTCAGGAATATTATAAACAGCGCAATAACATGTTATTTTTTTTTTATTTTTTTTTATTTTTTTTTATCCGTCAACATATCTCTCATTTATAAATTCAATAGATCTCAATCAAATAGTTTCATAGTTAAGCAACACCCGATTTAACAAACAGGATACTTTATTCGTGTGTAAGTCTCCCCCTTTCTTCTCTGTCTGCATGTCACAGCAGCTCAGTGCAGGCGGGGGAGTGGCACATTTGCTCTACATAACTCTAAACTCATAAAATCCCACGCATGTGCAGTTCATTCACCAGTGCGATTTCAGAGTGAAAGGAGCTCTCCCAAGCAGCTCTCTCCAAGCTAAACAACAGAAAGCAGACAGACCAGCTGTCCCTCCGTTATTCCCAACACAGACAAACAGTAACACTTAACAAAACTCACAAACCAACACAGAACATAGAACACAAATCCTACTTTGAAGTTTCTTAACTTCACTTATCCTAATCTGCAGATTTATAGTTATTTTCTTATCCATTACAAAACATCTCTATACAATCATAAAATCCTCCCTGTAGGCTCATAGTCTTTTAACAGTTATTAAACGTTCTCTTTTTATAGAGACTCATACAAGGTTTTAACCTTAACGTCCTCCCAGGGGCTCATCGTTTTTTAACAATTATTAAACGTTCTCTTTTATTAGAGACTCATAAGATTTTTAACCTTAACTTCCTCCCAGGGGGCTCATAGTTTTTTAACAATTATTAAACGTTCTCTTTTATTAGAGACTCATAAGATTTTAACCTTAACTAACATATTTCCTTACAAAAAACTAAAACCCCTGTTCTCAACCAAAACATATATATGTATATATCTCTAACATAAATCTTATCATATCATGAGTCGACACACAGCTGAAACACAACAGAGACGTCTTTATTAATTTTTTCCCGCACACACACACACATGAAAATAATTCAATCAACAAGAATGCATTCATTCATTCGATACTCTAAAGCATGCTACCGTCGCTCCTTATTTCTCATCGTTCCTTCCTAAATTTCTGCTACCTCGAGTTGCAGATATTCAATGAGAGGTTACTTCGAACATATACCTCATCAACTATATGTTGAGAGGTAACTTACAATAAAATGTATCTACCACAAACTCCAGTTCCCAGAACTGACCTTAAAAATCAACCTAGTGAGTTTTCAGGATTTTCGGCCCATCCTAATGATCGCCTCGTTTGAGGGCTTCCGTAGATCAGCGACATCCTAATTAATGTACATTTTCCTTACTTCCTGGCCTTATTCCTTCATGCTATTCCTTTTCCCTTTAATTTTATTCAAGCCAAATATCCCTGTGCCCAGTGTTATCAATTCCTTTAGACACTCCCCCCTGTTTAGAATTTAGAAATTTAGAATGGATTCTTATCCCACAGCAAATAACAGCAAAGTGCACACACAAGTCTTTAAACGGTACATCTCCTCAGCGCACACACCCACACAAGCACACGAACCGACCAGCGCCCAAAATTGTGAGAAATCTCACCTTATGTGCCGGCGTCTTGAGCGGGAGTCACTTCGTAGCTCATGAATGGAACGCTGGAGAGACGCAACACGTCCCAAAGGTCCTCGTCGCCATTCTGTGGTATCGAAATAACGATGCCGATATGCTGTGATGACAAGAAATCCGCTGACACTGTCCTTGATTATAATGGTTTATTACATCAAAGATTTCAGCGTCAATTTACAGACTCCTGCAGACATCTGGAGAACAACTGACCCAATCTCTAATATGTTATATTCTCCCCCTCCTTTGTTCCAACCATGGTATTTAAAATATGTAACATAATATGGGTGGTATTTCATTAGACCAATCCCTGGCCTTCACATAACAGACTCGCCTCTGTTTTAGGGGGCCCCTATAGTAATGCTTTCCAGATGCTTCCGCAAGCAGAGCCAACTTCCTCTAACACACCATTTGCAAACGTCAACAAAATCATAAACTGTTTAGATACTACACTACTTAGCGATTTATTGGTGAATTTTATTAATCATACATTGACTGCATCCATTTAAATCTGCAAACAATGCAAAACTCCACGTAATGTAATTTTGAGTCAAATAGAACCTAGTTTTAACACCTTTAAGTTTTAACACTGTTTTTTTCTGTTCACATGCCACTAACACCCCCTCACACACAGTACATAGCAACCTATTTACAGGTACTCTGTGGTTTGTATCTACGGCCTGCTGGCCTATTGCACAAAGGACCCTTCGCTCTCTCTCTCTCTCTCTCTCTCTCTCTCTCCCGCTCTCTCTCCCTCTCTCTCTCTCTCTCTCTCTCTCTCTCCTCTCTCTCTCTCCTCTCTCTCTCTCTCTCTCTCTCTCTCTCTCTCTCTCTCTCTCTCAGTTTTTTTCTCAATCTCTCTCTCTCTCTCTGTTTCTCTCTTTCTGTGGTTTTCAGCTGGATGTCTCAGAGCTGTTACCTCTCTCAAACTGAACTTAGTCTATACTCCACTTGTTCTTCAAGTTGACCGTTTTAGTAACCAACAGTAAACCAACTCTTGACATTAAACTAAACTTTTGATGGGGCAGCTTTACCTATTCATAGTCGACTGAAATATGCGAAAATACACAATGAGATATTTGTTAGGTAATTTGACCTATTGATCAGTAGTTCTTAGTCAAATACAAACCTTCTTTGAAGTGTGATGTTAGGCCACTAGATCCATGGACCTACTCAATAACAATATCATAGGAGGACATTCTCTCCATATATTCTACTGAGTGTAAATCCTGAATGAGAGATCACAAAAAGAAGACTACTGTATTGTGTTTGCTGTGTTTTTTCCATATATTTTTTTGTTGAGGTGAAGTGACTGTGTGCTGATAGAAGCCCTGGTGGATGACATTGTCATAGCATGCATGTTCCAAAAAGGTCACAACTATGAATATCTTATACTACAGTAGCTACAGTGATAAAGAATAAGGGATGCCACACTTCAATAAACAGTACTTCACTTGAAGTAAATCTATAATGATCAGGATCTACCTAAAAGATAACTATTCTGAGTCAGTCCAGCCAGGATAATCTGTGAGACAGAGCTGTACAATACACATGAGAAGGACATGGGTGCGCCTGAATGAGGTGTCAACAAAAATGACGCGTCCAGTTCGACCAATCACCTGTAACTCCATTGTTGAAGAATTGTACATAGGGGTATAGTTTTTCCACTCAAGACAAGTTGTGAAGAGGATGACAACTTTAAAGATGATCACATTGTGTCATATATTTCCTCTTCTTGTAGAGATGGGTATGTCAATCTTTTATATTTCTCTGCTTATGTGATATCCACACTTGATTTGGAGACAAAATGTTTTAAAGTATTGTTCAACAGACCCTTTGACAATCCAAAGTTGCATTTGGGGTAACCTATAGCATAGTTAATATATTTTCATGTTCTCTAGTTCATGTGCTAGCTGGAACTGAGACTTCATCCATACGTCAAGAGAGTGGTATCATGTCAGCCAACGTTGGAGACACAGTGATCTTGCACTGCTTTCATGAAAGCGACATGGCAGTATTGTTCTCTTGGTACAAGCAAACCTTGGGAGTTAGACTTCAGCTCTTCTCAAGTGTCAATAAGTTTGAAAAGAATGCAACATTCTACCATGAGTTTAAGGATAACACTCGCTTCTCAGTGGAAAATGGCCAAGAAAAGAATCACCTAAGGATCTCACACATGCAGCTGTCAGATTCAGGCACATACTACTGTGGGAGCTCTTATAGCAATAAGATGGAGTTTGGAGAAGGAGCCATTCTCAATGTAAAGGGTAAAGAGAAAGTTAGTTTTTAAAACCTGAATTTAGAGATACAGTGAAGGAAAAAGGTATTTGATCCCCTGCTGATTTTGTATGTTTGCCCACTGACAAAGAAATGATCAGTCTATAAATTTAATGGTAGGTTTATTTGAACAGTGAGAGACAGAATAACAACAACAAAATCCAGAAAAACGCATGTAAAAAATGTTATCAATTGATTTGCATTTTAATGAGGGAAATAGGTATTTGACCCCCTCTCAATCAGAAATATTTCTGGCTCCCAGGTGTCTTTTATACAGGTAACGAGCTGAGATTAGGAGCACACTCTTAAAGGGAGTGCTCCTAATCTCAGTTTGTTACCTGTATAAAATCCGCCTGTCCACAGTTGCAATCAATCAATCAGATGCCAAACTCTCCACCATGGTCAGTGGATCAGTGAAAATAGTTACAAAAATGTACCTACACTATAGTAAAATCTCCCTCCATTTCATAATTGTTCTTCACATGCCCAAGATGCAGACAATCTCTATTACGTAGCTCCCAGTGTCGGTCAGTGCCATTTAAGATGAGGCAGGACGATTTCATATTCCATTCACTCAGTTCAATGTAACAGCAATAGGTTAATGCTACTACATGTTACTCAAATCTTCCTTATAAACATCATGAGGTTCCTACACCCTAGCCTATGATTGAAAGTTTACAACATAGGTGCACAAAGGTCAAGAGAAAGATTTGAGACACACATTGACACATTCAATACCTCCTTCCACATTTCTTGCCTGCATCAGCTGATACAGGGTGTAATCATTAGTACAACAGTTGCAAACAAGAGTTTCTATTGGGCAAATCCAGGTATGTTTATCCACTTTTTGATCTGTTTGCTTCCGTTTAAGAAATGTTTTTCAACAGAATCGGCGTAATGAATATACCCCTGATCACGCATAAACACAGTTCACTTTCATAACAGCCACGTTGTATTCCTTTTCACAGCTATGCGCTCCCCTCCTTTCACTTTTTCCCTTCGCTTGTGGACTTCAGTACACAACACATCAGCTGTATGTGACCAGGCGAAAAAACCTTTCCAAGCCAAACCATATCATAACCGCTACACACAGCCTACATAGTTGTCACCATATTAGCTAAAGTAATGTCATCGTCAACATAGCTAATAGAACTAATGTGTTAGGAAACCTGCTACAATCATGCAGTAACGTTAAAGTGTGCAGTCAGGAAGCAGTTTAGCACTTACACCAGTGGGCCCCGGTGGCAATACATTTGTAAAACCAAAAGCTTACCATGACTTGGAAGAGTTCCAGTGTTGAATAGTCATAGCCAGCTAGCTAACATAGCATCCTTCTGTTTGAGCAGGGTGTTTCAGTAGGCTATTGCTAGCTAAAAGTGAAAGTGAAAAAAATTGACGAAATCTCTCTCTATCTCTCTCTTGTTTCTCCTTCATTTTGGAAGAAATGTATTTGTTCAAAACTATAAAACTATTGTTTTTCTCTCTCTTTGAGTCAACTACTCACCACATTTTATGCAATGCAGCGCTAGCTAGCTGTAGCATATGCTTTCAGTTCTAGATTCATTCTCTGATCCTTTCATTGGTGGATAACATGTAAGTTCATCCTGCAAGAGCTCTTATTGGTTGTAGGACGTCCTCTGGAAGTTGACATAATTATTGTATAAGTCTATGGAAGGGGGTGAGAACATGTATTGAAGTCAATGTACCCAGAGGAGGACGGAAGCTAGCTGTCCTCCAGCTACACCATGGTGCTACCCTACAGAGTGCTGTTGAGGCTACTGTAGACCTTCATTGCAAAATAGTGTGTTATAATCAATTATTTTGTGACATGTGATTATATTTATTATAGTATTATCTTAAACTGATAACTTTTAAAACGTTTTTAAATTTTTATATTTATGAAATTCACTGAGGAGGATGGTCCTCCCCTTCCTCCTCTGAGGAGCCTCCACTGGTAGCTCTGAATCTGAGTAACAAGAAAAACAGGTCTAGAAGACAGAGAAACAACATGGAGGAAGAGAAGGTGTACTCTGGGATCAGACAGTAGAACAATAAAACATACGTCCATTAAAATTCACGAGCTCTTTATTAACTGTATTAGTTTTGTTATTGTAACTGTAGCTAATAATACATTAAATGCATTGCTTCTCTGCCATTTGATATTGACTTGATTGTGATAAGATGAATAATGCATTCAACAATAATCAAGACAAAGGTTGTTGAATGTATTCATTTGGACCATACTCAGGCATTCTTTAAGTCGTAGTGTTGAAAAGTGTTTTCTCTTCTCATGCCACTAACACCCCGTCACACACACATCAACCTATTTACAGGTACTCTGTGGTCTGTGATGAAAACAAGATGAGGATGTCTCTACGCTTTGTTAGGGCCTGCTGGCCTATTGCATGCAATATCCTTTTCTCTCTCTCTCTCTGCTCTTTACTCTCTTTCTCTCTCTCTCTCTCTCTCTCTCTCTCTCTCTCTCTCTCTCTCTCTCTCTCTCTCTCTCTCTCTCTCTCTCTCTCTCTCTCTCTCTCTCTCTCTCTCTCTCTCTCTGTGGTTTTCAGCCGGATGTTAGAACTCTTAGTTCTCTCATACTGTAGGCTATACTACTTACTCTTCAAGTTGACCATTTTAGCAACATTAAACCAACACTTTTAATGAGGCAGCTTATCTATACCAAGTCAACTAAAATGTGTGAAAAAACACAATGAGCTATATATTAGGTAATTTGACGTAGAGATCAGGACAGTATTCTCAATCAGTGTGATGTTAGGCCACTAGAACCATGGACCTACTCAATAACAATATCATGGGAGGGCATTCTATCTATCTATTAATTTGAGTGTAAATCCTGAATGAGCGATCACTAAAAGAAAACCACTGTATTGCATTTGCTGTGTTTGTCATGTTTTCTTCATAGATGTCTTTACTGAGGTGAAGTGACTGATAGAAGCCCTAGTGGATGACAGTGTCATAGAATGCACGTTCAAAACAGTTCACACATTTGAGTCTCTTAGACAACAGTAGCTGCAGTGATAAAGAATAAGTGAAACTGTGCTCCAAAAATTACTGCTCAATTTGTAGAAATCTAAACGATAAGATTCTACCTGTAGGAAAATTCTGTGACTCTGAACTGCACAAGACACACGTAAATGCCACAGTCGTGCCTGAATGAGGCGTCAACCAAAATAATTCGGTCCAGTTCGACCAATCACCTGTAACTCCACTGTTGAAGTGTTGTCTACATGGGTGGACTCTTTCCACTGAAGACCCAAGTTGTGAAGCGTTGACAACTTTAAAGATGATCACACTGTGTCTGATATTTCCACTTCTCGTAGAGATGGGTAAGTCAATCTTTTACATTTCTCTGCTTATGTGAGGTCCACACTTGATTTGGAGACACAAGGTATCCAATTATTGTTGTACAGACACCTTGACAATCCAAAGATGTATTTGAGGTATGTAACAGCTTAATATATTTTTATGTTCTCTTGTTCATGGATTAGCTGGGACTGAGTCCTCATCCATCAGTCAGGAGAATGGTCTCATTTCAGCCAACGTTGGAGACGCAGTGGTTTTGGTCTGCTTCAACAAAGTCGACACAGGAGTAATGTTCTCTTGGTACAAGCAAACATTTAGAAATGTCCCTCAGCTCATCTCAACCATCTATAAGTATAGCAGTAATGCAACATTTTACCATGAGTTTAAGGATAACCCTCGCTTCTCAGTGGAAGGTGGCCAAGGAAAAAATCACTTAATGATCGAAGACGTGGAACTCTCTGATTCAGGCACATACTACTGTGGAAGTTCTTATGGAAACAATTTGCAGTTTGGACAAGGAGTCATTCTCATCATAAAAGGTAAAGAGAAAGTTACTATTATGAAAATATTTTTAGTAAATCTGAATTTACAGATATACAGTGTAAATATGAGGTATTCTCTTAATCAGATGAGATCTTAATTGAATAAATGTTGAGTTAAAACACTTGCCACAGGGATATTTTAGAGAGATTAAATGGGTTTATTGGCCTTCTTGTCAGGTTCAGGGTCCAGAAATCTGCCTGCACTCCAGCAGCCTGTGTCTGAGTCAGTCCAGCCAGGATATTCTGTGACTCTGAACTGTACAATACACACTCAGACCTGTGCAGGAGAACACAGTGTCTATTGGTTCAGACATGGCACAGGAGAATCCCATCCAGGAATCATTTATACCCTTGGGGACAAGGGTGATCAGTGTGAGAAGAGCCCTGAGGCTGGGTCTCCTACACAGAGCTGTGTCTACAACCTCCCCAAGAGGAACCTCAATATATCTGATGCTGGGACTTACTACTGTGCCTCATGTGGGGAGATACTGTTTGGGAACGGGACCAAGCTGGACATCGAAGGTAAGCTGTGCATAACCAAAATACACCACTAATGTTCTCTCAAATGGTAGGAAATATCAATATGTAAATCTATCACCTTCAATTCATAGTCGATTTCAAATATAACTTTTATAGCTAACTTTTATGCCAAAACCACTGAGAAAAAGAATAATAGAAAATAATCAAGCCTTGTTTTTTAAGTTTCAGAACTGTTGGGTGATCAGAGTAATATTATTTTTGTCATCATTTTATCTTGCCTGACAACTGCTGTGATTCTGAGTGTGGTTGTCAACGTTATCCTCTGTGTGAGAATGAAGAGGTCACGATGTGAACACTGTGCAGGTACAGTAAAAGTGTTCATGCTAATAGTAAAAGTAATAATAGTTATAGATCATAAAGAAGGGTGAAGGCTAGCCCTCCTTTTACCACTTCCCTCTCTGGACATTGTTTTCATTTCACAAGCCTACTTCATTTTGAAGCAGAAAATATGACATACATAGTATGTTTCAAGTGTTTTAAATGATTTTTAATTTGTCTTTTAGCAGGGACCCATTCTCAGCAGAGCCAGTATGGGAATCCTCATGCCAACACGTCAGACCAACAGGTCAGCAGAATTGCTGTATCAAGAGTGGAGTATTAAAGCTAAAGATTACAGCATTAAATTTGTCTGAATTGAGTGAGTCTGTGTTTCATCCCCATAGCTCTACGGTGACGATGATGGCCTGAACTATGCTGCCCTGAAGTTCACTGACAAGAGTACCAAGCCCAGGAGACAGAGGAGGGAACAGAGAGAACAGAGAGAGGAAGATACCATCTACTCTGGTGTGAGTCATCAAGACAGGATGTGACAGTCCTCCAATCAGCATAATTTTAAGTTTAGCCCTACTGTCCTCCACTTTGCGCTTGACTGTGTCCGTGTGACTTGGCTATTTTGTACATTCCTCATTTTTTGTAAAATGTAATACTCGGGCCTAGCTGAAGAGATTGTCACTGCATTGGCATACTCTCCTAATATCAATGTAGAATCATTCAGATGCAGAGCATACTTGTCCAGCAAGTGGAAAGCTGATACTAGGATGGTTTCAGAAGTCTCAAATTCTCACCAATAGTGGTTGAGGTTGACTTACTGGATACATTAGTTTTTGTAGAAATGTATATCATGATTTTGCAAATGTCTGAACTCTTCCTTTTGATGATAAAAGTTATAACATTGAACTATGTAACCTGCCTTTATGCGTGTGTGATAGTTCAATAAACATGATTTTATTTCCTACATTTAATGACTTGCCCAATTCTTACGACTTATTTGCACGAGGTAATCTTATGTAAGAATTTCTTCCACTTTGACATTAGTGTTTTGTGTAGATCGTTCACAAAAAAGTATAATTAAATCAATTTTAATCCCACTTTGTATCACAATAAAATGTGAAGAAATCCAATGTTGGTGTAGACTTTCTATAGGCACTGTATTTACCACAAGTCTCAGCAAATGACGCAAATGATGAAAAAATACAAACCATTAACTCTGACTTTACACCGTTTGAAAATAAATAGCACATCTTTTTGATAGCTTAAGCATTTTAGAGAGAAATGCATAATTGATTAATCGATGAAAACATACTATACTATACTTCCTCTTCAAACAACCTAAAAGGTGTATGTAGATACACATTTCCACTGATGCTGTCACTTCACTTTGTCTCTTGACCCTCATCTCAGTTGTTCTGTTACACCAGACGAGACCAGAGAGAAGAAGCTGAAGAATGTTCAGGTTGTTTCTAGACCTGGTTATCATTGCAGTTTAACAACTTCAAATACTATTGGTAAACCAAGGATTCTAATATTTCATACTACTGAATCAATGTTTGATTCGCACACTCAGGGAAACCGAACACTGTACACCACACCCAACCAGGACTTAGTGATAATGTAACTAAAGTAAGTAAATGTTTATGTGGTATGAGTTATCTTCACTGCATTTCATTTATAGTGGACACGGAGGACATCGGCAATCCAAGTCCTCTTCTGCACGCCTATCTTGGAGACAATGTGACTCGCCAATGCTTCTATCCAGACAGATATTCTTATATCTCATGGTAGAAGCTAAATGTAGGACAGAAGCCTCAACTTGTATCAACAATTTACAAATATGATGGTGGTGCAACATTTCACAGTGAGTTTAAGGATAACCCTCGGTTCACAGTGCAAAGTGGAAATTGACTTTATCATCTACATATCTCCAACACTCAGCCATCTGACTCAGCCACATATTTCTATGGGGGTATTAATGTTAATGTGATGGAATTCAAAAACGGGATATTTATCATTCTGAAAGGTAGGCTATTGTTTTTTTAACAGTAATGTTGTTAAATATGGCTAATTATGTTAATTGTTCAAATGTGTTAATCCCTCATCTAAAGTTGTGAACTAACTTTTTATTTCAGGATCAAGCAAAACTTCTGTACATCAGCTTGTGTCTGAGTATGTCCAGCCAGGAGACTCTGTCCCCAGTGAAAGTTGCACCCCTGAAATTACTTATTGGTTTCCTTACCCTATAAGCAGTCTATGGACAAGGTATTACATTTTAGTCATTTAGCAGACGCTCTTATCCAGAGCAATTAGGGTTATGTGCCTTGCTCAAGGGCACATCGACAGATTTTTCACCTAGTCAGCTCGGGGATTAGAACCAGCGACCTTTCGGTTACTGGCACAACGCTCTTAACCACTAAGCTACCTGCCGCCCGGTAGGTAGCAATCCATGCTTTGGTTTAGTTTACTTGGCACTGTTTCCAAATGCTAATGTTTTAGCATATGTGGCACAAATCCCATTCAAGTCATGGGACCGATATTAGCCTTTTTCGCACATCAAGTCCAAATCATTTAAAAGTATCTCAAATTAATTCTGAAGCTCAACAAAGTCACCTATAGATGATTGAACATGATGCGCGAAAAATGCTAAAATCAGTACCTTCTGCAACTTGTTGCACATTTTTGGATACTATGTCTTGAACATGAGGTAACTATTCACATAATCAGATATCACTGTATAGGAAACAGATTTACTGACGTGTAGACTTTCTTGTCAGGTTGGAAACAGGACCAAGCTGGACATCAAAGGTAAGTGATACATCTTACTTTTGTTAATATTTAGATCACATAAGAGAATGTACAATCCTCCATATAGTTACTATACTACTATACTATATACAAGAGTATATGTATTTACTATACAGCACTTCTATCACCATATTTATTGACAATTGTCCTTGCTTGCATAATTTGCAAGATTAACAAGAGAATATTCAGTATCTGCAGTGCAGAGGTAAGTGACTTTTTTTTTTTTAGATGCTCTTCTTTGATGTCACCATCTACAGATGTATCAGTAGTGAGGGGTTGTATCTTTATCTTTTCTGTCTTTCTTTTCAGGACCCGTCTCTCAGACAAGAGGTCCAGCCAGACTCGTCTTTGGATACAGGGGTAAGCAGAATTTATTATATTTTGTATTACTATAAAAATGTGTAAAAACATGGTTATATTTATTAATAATGTGTAGTAATAGTCTCCCTCCATTTTCTAATTGTTCTTCACAGGCCCAGGATGCAGACAGTCTCCATTATGTAGCTCTGAATCTGATCAACAAGAAGAACTGGTCTACAAGACAGAGAAGCAACATGGAGGAAGAGATGGTATACTCTGGGATCAGACAGTAAAACAATACAACAGACGTCCATTCAAATTAATTAGGTATTTATTGACTCTAGCTTTATTAACTTTATTAGCTGTATTACTGTAACTGTAGCTACTAATGTATGGAGTAAATTGCTCTGATTTGATATGGGACTGGCTTGTGATAAGATGAATAAAGCGTTTAACAATATTCAGGACAAAGGAAGTTGAATGTATTTATTTAGGCCAAACTCAGGCATCTTTAAAGAGGAACTGACATAGATTTTTCAAAATCAAACTTATTAAAATACAGTATATATACAAAAGTATGTGGACAACCCTTCAAATTAGTGGATTCAGCAATTTCAGCCACACTCGTTGCTGACAGTTGTATAAAATAGAGCACACAGCCAAACAATCAACAAAGACAAACTTTGTCAGTAGAATGGCCTTACCGAAGAGCTCACTGACTTTCAACATGGCACCATCATAGGATGCCACCCTTCCAACAAGTCAGTTCGTAACATTTCTGCCCTGCTAGAGATGCCCCGGTCAACTGTAAGTGCTGTTATTGTGAAGTGGAAACATCTATGAGCAACAACAGCTCATCCACGAAGTGGTAGGCCACACAAGCTCACAGAACGGGACCTCAGAGTGCTGAAGCGTGTAACGCGTTAAAATACATTCTCTGGAAGTATATGACACCTTTTTTAATTCATTTTGTGATAAGTGACAGGGGCAGACTGGCCATCTAGCATTTTGGTCAAATGCCAGATGGGCTGGTTCATTTTAAGCCCAGTGGGCCTGTCTAACTTGAATTTTTCACGCGAAAATATCACTATCTGGTTAACAATGGCTGCCTCAAGTGAAAAAATGGGCCAGAGTGGGGACCTCAAGGATAAAAATGGGCCGGGGTGGGGGTCTCAAGGAAAAAAATGGGCCACTGTGTTAGAAATACCTAGAACAATTTCTAGTCCCAGTACGCCTCTGACAAGCGAGCACATGCAGTGGGGAGAACAAGTATTTGATACACTGCCGATTTTGCAGGTTTTCCTACTTACAAAGCATGTAGACGTCTGTAATTTTTATCATAGGTACACTAAAACAAAAATCCAGAAAATCACATTGTATGATTTTTAAGTAATTAATTTGCATTTTATTGCATCACATAAGTATTTGATCACCTACCAACCAGTAAGAATTCCGGCTCTCACAGACCTGTTAGTTTTTCTTTAAGAAGCCCTCCTGTTCTCCACTCATTACCTGTATTAACTGCACCTGTTTGATCTCGTTACCTGTATAAAAGACACCTGTCCACACACTCAATCAAACAGACTCCAACCTCTCCACAATGGCCCAGACCAGAGAGCTGTGTAAGGACATCAGAGATAAAATTGTAGACCTGCGCAAGGCTGGGATGGGCTACAGGACAATAGGCAAGCAGCTTGGTGAGAAGGCAACAACTGTTGGCGCAATTATTAGAAAATTGAAGAAGTTCAAGATAACGGTCAATCACCCTCGGTCTGGGGCTCCATGCAAGATCTCACCTCGTGGGGCATCAATGATCATGAGGAAGGTGAGGGATCAGCCCAGAACTACACGGCAGGACCTGGTCAATGACCTGAAGAGAGCTGGGACCACAGTCTCAAAGAAAACCATTAGTAACACACTACGCCGTCATGGATTAAAATCCTGCAGCGCAAACAAGGTCCCCCTGCTCAAGCCAGCGCATGTCCAGGCCCGTCTGAAGTTTGCCAATGGCCATCTGGATGATCCAGAGGAGGAATGGGAGAAGGTCATGTGGTCTGATGAGACAAAAATATAGCTTTTTGGTCTAAACTCCACTCGCCGTGTTTGGAGGAAGAAGAAGGATGAGTACAACCCCAAGAACACCATCCCAACCGTGAAGCATGGAGGTGGAAATATCATTCTTTGGGGATGCTTTTCTGCAAAGGGGACAGGACGACTGCACCGTATTGAGGGAAGGATGGATGGGGCCATGTATCGTGAGATCTTGGCCAACAACCTCCTTCCCTCAGTAAGAGCATTGAAGATGGGTCGTGGCTGGGTCTTCCAGCATGACAATGACCCGAAACACACAGCCAGGGCAACTAAGGAGTGGCTCCGTATGAAGCATCTCAAGGTCCTGGAGTGGCCTAGCCAGTCTCCAGACCTGAACCCAATAGAACATCTTTGGAGGGAGCTGAAAGTCCATATTGCCCAGCGACAGCCCCGAAACCTGAAGGATCTGGAGAAGGTCTGTATGGAGGAGTGGGCCAAAATCCCTGCTGCAGTGTGTGCAAACCTGGTCAAGACCTACAGGAAAAGTATGATCTCTGTAATCGCAAACAAAGGTTTCTGTACCAAATATTATGTTCTGCTTTTCTGATGTATCAAATACTTATGTCATGCAATAAAATGCAAATTAATTACTTAAAAATCATACAATGTGATTTTCTGGATTTTTGTTTTAGATTCCGTCTCTCACAGTTGAAGTGTACCTATGATAACAATTACAGACCTCTACATGCTTTGTAAGTAGGAAAACCTGCAAAATCGGCAGTGTATCAAATACTTGTTCTCTCCACTGTAGATATGCTAAAACCGGTGCGCCATAACCAATCAGCTAGAGGAGGCCTTTTATGCAGATAGGCCATGCTATTCACTTTGATGTGGCACTGCACTGGACTGTGTTTTCTGGCAGCAGAACAGCACAGCTTTGTTTAGATCATTGTTCAGAAAGCAGTAGCAAAAGTGTCAAAGGAAACCAAAATGGTTTTCTGCGAATATATAAATACTACAGGAGTTTTACTTTTGGGAACTTTATAGTCCTATTGATCAAACAACCAACAGGTAGGCTATCTCTCCCTCAGTTGCCTATGCAAACCAACAACAACGATGTTAGCCTGAGCCAGAGGAGCTAAGATCTAGCAAAAGGAAGGGTAGGTACAGTGCCTAGCAAAAGTAGTCATCCCCCTTGGCGTTTTTCCTATTTTGTTGCATTACAACCTGTAATATCAATGGATTTGTATTTGTATTTCATGTAATGGACATACACAAAATAGTCCAAATTGGTGAAGTGAAATACGTAAAAATGTATGCACACATGACTGTAAGTCGCTTCGGATAAAAGCGTCTGCTAAATGGCATATTATTATTATTATTATTATTATTATCATTATTATTATTATTATTATTATATGTATTCACCCCCTTTGCTATGAAGCCTCTAAATAAGATCTGGTGCAACCAATTACCTTCAGAAGTCACATAATTAGTTAAATAAAGTCCACTTGTGTGCAATCTAAGTGTCACATAATATATATATTTTTTTTTTTTCACATGATCTCAGTATATATACACCTGTTCTGAAAGGCCCCAGAGTCTGCAACACCACTAAGCAAGGGGCACCACAAAGCAAGTGGCACCTTGAAGACCAAGGAGCTCTCCAAACAGGTCAGGTACAAAGTTGTGGAGAAGTACAGATCAGGGTTGGGTTATAAAATAATATCTGAAACTTTGAACATCCCACGGAGCACCATTAAATCCATTATTAAAAAATTGAAAGAGTATGGCACCACAACAAACCTGCCAAGAGAGGGCCGCCCACGAAAATGTACAGACCAGGCAAGGAGGGCATTAATCAGAGAGGCAACAAAGAGACCAAAGATAACCATGAAGGAGCTGCAAAGCTCCACAGCGGAGATCGGAGTATCTGTCCATAGGACCACTTTAAGCCATACACTCCACAGAGCTAGGCTTTACAGAAGAGTGGCCAGAAAAAAGCCATTTCTTAAAGAATAAAATAAGCAAACACGTTTGGTGTTCACCAAAAGGCATGTGGGAGACTCCCCAAACATTTGGAAGAAGGTACTCTGGTCAGATGAGACTAAAATTGAGCTTTTTGGCCATCAAGGAAGATGCTATGTATTACGCAAACCCAACACCTCTCATCACCCCGAGAACACCATCCCCACAGTGAAGCATTGTGGTGGCAGCATCATGCTGTGGGGATGTTTTTCATCGGCAGGGACTGGGAAACTGGTCAGAATTGAAGGAATGATGGATGCCGCTAAATACAGGGACATTTTTGAGGGAAACCTGTTTCAGTCTTCCAGAGATTTGAGACTGGGACGGTATAGTTATGTTTTTTTTCTTGTTTGTCTCCCCCCCAAAAATATTTTGCACCTTCAAAGTGGTAGGGATGTTGTATAAATCAAATGATACAAACCCCCCCCCCAAAATCCATTTTAATTCCAGGTTGTAAGGCAGCAAAATAGGGGGGTGAATACTTTCGCAAGCCACTGTAAACCCTCTCAAACATTTTCAGCATTTAGTTGACAACCAAACCTGCACTGTTGTCACGGTTTCGGCCGAGGCTGCTCCTTCTCCTTGTTCGGGCAGGCTTCGGCGGTCGTCGTCCCCGGAGTACTAGCTACCACCGTTCGATGTTTCATGTTTGTTTGGTTTTGTCTGGTTGTACACCTGTCCCTTGTTAGTCTTTGATTTTGTGTCCTATTTAGTTATCGTGTGTTGGGTCAGGTGTTATGTGTGATTATTATTGTCAGCTGTTGCCATTGAGGAGTTTCCTCTCTCATAACTTTGTATTTGAGAGTTCGCACTGCGTGCGCTTTTTTCTTGTATTTCGCACTGTTGTTGTTGTGCGTAATTGTTCGTGCCACCCGGTTGGGTTGGCGACTCATTCCTGGTTTTGGATATACTAAAGTCTGTTGACGAACACCCTGGTTCCTGCGCTTGATTCCCTGCACCACATCCACACGCATCGTTCTGACAGAATCACACATCCCACTATGGAATCAGCAGGAGCAGCCGCGCCAACGGACATTATGGAAGACCGTCTTCGTGGGCAGGAGGACCGGATCAACCAGATCGGTCACGCCCTGGATCAGGTGATGAACACTCTCCACCGATGGGAGACCAGCGGGGTACCCACGCCCCCACCTACCGGACCATCCCCATCGGTCAGTCCTCCTGTCCCCCTTCCGGAACCCAGCGGGATTCGGCTCTCCCTCCCGAGGGCGTA